AATGGAAATTATTTTAGGAAAATCAAATATACACTAGGCTTTTAATTTGATTTTACATTATGTTAATGACATGATTTCAAAATTTTACCACCTTTATATCTAGAAATTACATAGTTTGTATTAGTCGGTATGAGTTAGATAAAGATTTATTTTGTCATGGTTCAACTAACAACTAATAGAGTCAGAAGAGAATGAAGGGAATGATATAAAAGATTTTATTTAAATAAAATAAATGATATCATTATTCACTTATAAGAGTTGGAATCTTTCTGTTATTAAAGTTAAAGGCTGCCACTAATTGCTCACTTATAGATTATGTACTTTCAAAGAGAACTTCCTCGATCATGTCATTAAGTATACAGTATTTCTAAGTTAAGTTAGAAAGTGGTTGACTGAGAAGGACAAAAAATGCGTTTATTGTTTTACGTGACTCGTTAACTAGATGTACATCCATCCAAGTGTTTATATTCACTTTGAGACTTGAATCTAATGCTTTTAACTTATAGCACCCAACGCTGTATTTACTTGGCTACTCAGTTCAGTTAGATGTTCCATCGATAGATATTACTTAAGTTTGCCTTAAAATGAAATATTGATTTCCGTTCATTCGCACTTTCAAATGACATTGGTCCATCATAAAAATTAGCACAACACATGTAAGAGAACAATATTGATTACACTTAAATAAGTGATATATTTGTAATATCCCAGTGAGTAGAATAACTAGATTTTCTGACGTTTCGTGACTTAGTGTAAGTCACTTCTTCAGAGAATAAATAACCGAATTAAAATTAATCCAAGTTTAAATAGAACAACGGAACACTAATCAAGGTAGTTTATCAGTCAATGTTCACAATGAGGTATATTGTATATGAATATGAATCGTTATCAATAGAATCTAGCGCAAGTTATGTGTTCCACTTTGCACGTTTATAAACTGATCACAAATTTATTGGTAAATAAAAACGATCTGAAATTATTTCTACAACTTATGAAGGTCTGATGATATGAAATTACTTTCCAGTTTAATTACTTTCTAGTTTAATCAGTTTTCTTAATTTCGTTTAAAAATGATTCAAATCGCAACTGAAAGTCACGCTAGTAACTTGAAAGATACATATTAGACAGTATAACTCCTTACAAATCAATCGAATAAGTTATAATAATTTATAGAAATTATTTACGAACATAACAAATTCCGACACGAAATTATATCCGCTCAGTTGTTTTTGTATAATAGTAAACGTATGTGAGAAATTTTTTTTATTGATCTCTGTCATAACTACTGATTCCTTTTGTATCCAACTGTCTTGATCAGTTTAAAATTGTGTTTTTTCACTAAGTTAGGTATTTTTAGCAATGGTAATAGAGAAAATAATTAATTTTTCTTTTCAGCTCTGTATTGATTGATAGAAATTTGTGATCAAACTGATTTTATTAGTGAATTTGTAAACAAACTATTCTTTTACATTCAGTTTCATACATAGCTAAGTGGTGTCGTATCAAGTGAATAAGGAATCATTACAAAATACGAATAACTCCACCTGGAGCCCCTCTGGGACTACTGCCTGTCTCAAGCCCAGATGAAAGAGGAGGGTTGGGCATGGGTTTAGCGACCCCATCTTGTAAAAAAAATTAGACAAAACTGGAAAGGAAGGCCCAGGACAGGTTGGTTTGGAGAATGCTGGTCGGCGGCTTATACTCCATTGAAAGTAACAGGTGTAAGTAAATAAAGTAAATAAAATATACGAATAATTCTATTTATAATAATGAACGATCTTTAATGCAAAATGAGCGATGTTAGATAGTGCCTAGCAGTTGAGTCCAGCACGTGCTTTTAGTCCCATTTGGGAGTCATCAGCTGAATGTACCTGTATCTCAGAGTTGATGTTCATCCTAGGACTCGAACCCATTATCAGGACAATACGCACAGTATGCACATATGACAAAATGAGACTGATCAATTGAAGTTCTAAACATGAATGGGAAGATTCAATTAAACAATACCAAGTGATTTTTAACACAGTTATTATACACTTCAATGAAAATGTTATAAATGGGGTCTTGGAATAAAACATAACTTGTACTCTGAAAACGTCGAAATTTATGTCATGAATTAATGAAAATCCATTTTATCTGATTTAACTATTCATTGTTTATGTATATATTTATCTTATTCTCAGTTATAGAAATTATGGTTATGTAATTATCATTCAACAAGAATGTAGATATCTTGTTACTGAAGTAAAAAGAAAATATCAAAACATGATTTTTATTGTCAAAAAAATTAACTTGACAGAATTGAAAATGAATTTATTTAGTTACCCTCAACAAACTTTGTTTTTGCATAAAAATATGAAGGTAAATATTTGAAACTAAGTAAATTGAGTTTTTACTTCTCAGTTGATTTATGACTTATGTTTTACTGATCTACTTTTCTAACTGTTTAGACTTCTGATTTTATAAGTAGTAATTCGAACATGAACAATTGTCCACGAAAGATACTCCATATCCGTTGATTGGATATTATCAATAATAGTCTATTGTGGAAAAGAAAAAAACCAGCTTTCAAATGAAGAGGGAATTAGGAAAAGACTTTGAAGGTGGAAAGGACATAACATTGAGAAAATCATCAGACTACATCACGAGACAAGTATTAATTGGGAATTATAAATGGAAATGTAAAAGAGGATGACCAAGGAACATACTGCACCAAGAATCGAAAGCAGGTATGAAAAGGATGAATAGTAACTAGAAAGAACTGGAGAGGATTTTTCAGGAAAGAGTTCGATGGGGAATGGTAGCGTTTTACCTATGCTCCTCCATGAGTGGTAACAGGCGTAAGTAAGTATATAAATAACTTCCAGTATACAGTAAATGTATTTGTATTTTAAAGTTGTACATTGGAACTTGATGACAGTCTTTAACCAAAGTAATGTGATATATACAAGAATTCACTGAATACATTTTAGGTTTTCTCAACTGATATCCTTAATATTTCTCAATGAAATGATGATAAATTTGTGAATGTTGGTCAAATCAGAGTTTTGATTGTGAATTTTGGCTTTACTAAGTAAAAGGTAAAATAAGAGGCAGTCAGAATATTTAACAAGTACAGTCAATAAATGTTTATTCGACAAGGAATTATCAGTTATTACATGATATAAACTTTTAAACATAGTCAAACTGATGAATAGTGATATCCTTTATATTAAAATGATATATCACTAACAGATTCCCACAAATCAATCCCACTACATACCATTATGTTAATGTCCATTTTCTGTACATCTTTATGGTTCATGTAATGTTTTTTTAGTAACTGTGCTGAACAATGAAATAAACATTTCTTCTACAATTATCCTCATCCAAAATTGGTATTATTTGATAATCTTTTGGATGATTATGCAGTGTAATTAGCGATACCAACTAAAACTCACTAAAAGCATAGAATGATAGTTAAGCTAATGGTTGGATTTACTTTGTAAAAAGTTTTTATTGTTCATGTCACATGACTGGTTGAATTTCAAGAAATTAGACTTTTAGTGCTTCATAATTATTAAATATTCTAAAACTAATAATAGTGTTATGATTAAAATAACATTCAAATTCACAAATCAGTACAAACTACTGATGACTAGTATTGTTAAACAAACATTACACACAAATATTACTTTTTACACAAAATCCAAAACTGTTATCTCATTACCATTTCACTGACATTCTTCACTAGTATGATTTAATTGAAGAAACATAGTTTTAAGGCTTTTTATTAATGAATTAACAATTTATGTTGAAAATGAAGAACATATTCTGAAAAATCTAAACTTAATTTTTACACGCACTAAGATCAATGTTTGATTGACATCAGTGTTCTGTAATGTTTGCTGAAATATCTAATTTCGGGAAAAGTTTTTTTCATCTTACTCTTGTTTGCTACTTATTTCTCCTGGTGGTAGATAAAAAATCAACTTAACTGTTAGCTTAGCACATAAATTGTTACATTTATGAATAAGTTTTACTAGTACAGAAAAAGTAGATGTTAGCATAATATCTTATTGACCAGGTTTTCCATGGTGGTCTAACTTTAATTGACTCATGAAATTACTAAAATCTCCACAAAACCCCTTCTGAAATTCGAAGCATTTGATAGGTTTTGAGTATCTTGGATTCAAATGAAATGAACAGAGTATAGGTAGTAAATATTTCATAGTTCAAGAACTTTTAAACCTATACTTCCACTCTTTTCATGAAAAATAAACAATTCTTTTCTTGTTCTCTTCTTGTTTCTATTACTTGTGTTTTTATTCACAAACAGGAAATAGCAAAATATTTTTATTTTGAATTGTTATCCAGAATATTCATTTCTTTCACTGTGTTTTCCTTAAACATAATCAACATTTACAATAATAAAATAGTTTTTGAATTGAATAATTTACCATATTACTTATATCGTTTTTGTTCAGTTACCTTGATCATTTAAATTTACTGTTTATTTGTTTTGTTTTTTTATGTAATAAACAAAATAGTTAACATTCAGTGTCTATCCTGATTTTCACAAACTTAGGAAAGTATATCTTGGGTCACTTAAAGTCTATTTGATAGTCCATATGCTATTTTGATAAGCGAAGCTTAGTCTTCTTCATATTATTAATAAAACGGCCATCCAGTGATTCCAGGTTTTCCATAATGGTCTATCTTCAATTGACTCATGATTTCAATCAAAAACTTAATCTCTACAACCCCTAAACTGATCATTTCAATCATCCAATCATAGTAAAGAGATTTACATCAAGTATATAATTGGTTGATTTATACAGATTCTATAAATAACTAACATTTATTAGCTTAATTATGATTGGTTCGTTAATCCACAGATTTTCAAATAATTAATATTAATCTGTAAATAATAAATCATATTTTAAAAATGATATTCAAAATATCATATTCATTTTATTATATTAAAAGTTAACATCCATTTATTAAATCATTCATTAAAAATGAATAATCTTCCACAGATTTTAATTGATCCAATTATTAATGAAAAGGATATATTAGAGACAATAAGTGAACCAACTGAAGATTGTAAATCATTAACTGTACCACTTTCGAAATTTTATATTAACAATGACAATGATAATAATAATAACAATAATAATATTGACAATAATGGTAATTGTAATAACAACACAAATTACAATCAAAATGATGGACATATGAATTATAATAATCATTTAAATAATATTATTGATCATTCTAATAATTTAGGACAAACTATATTTGGAAAAATATATATAAGATCTGTGAATTCATCAAATTCATCAGATAAATATAATCAACTTGTTTGGGTACAAATTTATCAGAAATCATCATCAATTTCATCAAAACTGAATACACATAATATAGATATTCCAACTTTTGTATTATTATTAAAAACAAGAATAAATCCACATAATTCTGAATATACACCAGATTATTATTCACCACCTTATATGACATTTAATTTAAAACATACACGTTCAAGTCCAATAGATGAGAAACATTTTCATATTTATACAAGATGTGGAGAAGGTATAACACTTGAAGGTGAAATAGCTGATGAACATTCTGTATCTTACTGGTTATCGATTTTTAATCAAAATACATTAATTCCTAATCATATGGAATTTATTCGTACAAATGAAATAAAAATACGTTCGGCTCCTAATTCACCTAGACATATAAGACGACGAAATAATATTACTACTGATATTAATAATAAACACTGTTTCATTGGTAATCCAACAAATTGTAGTACACATTCAATTTCTCGTATGTGTATATTTGAAACACTTAATGAAACACAAGAATTAGAAAGTGGAGTATGATGGTAATTTTTTTTAAAATTTACAATGTAATCATCATTTGTTTGTTTGTTCTTAACATGTAAATTGTCTTACAATGTTTATTATTACAACATTATTCATGTTATATCATTCATAATCATTAGCACTTTGTTAATATTTTCTAATTTGTATTACTAAAGGAAGCAGTATCAATGTGTATTTCATTATTTTTTATCTAACATCAAACAGATTATTCCGACAAATTAAACATTCCTTGTATGATCATTATATCATTGTCATAATTTATAAGACAAATAATTTATATTAAGCGCTTATGATAAAACTATGAATGAGGTGCTAGCAAAGAAATCATTAAACAATAAATGAAGATAATAATTGGATTTTTTATGAAGATTTATTCATTGGTGTGACTTTAGTTTTTGTTTTTGTTTTTAGGATAACTCACTTATGATGTCTTCTTTTTTTTAATTGTTACTCTAAGACAAATGAATATAGATTGTAAATAAAGTAGTTTTGATTATTAAACATTACATGTTGTGCTGACTGTTTACTCTATAATAACGGATGATACAATGTATACTTCATATAATGGTCGTCAGGTTTTATACAATAATGAAATAGATGTATTATTTGCCTCTTTTTTGATCCAAACAAGATAAGATCAAAATATAGAACGAGTTAATGATAGGTTGAAAGTCAGCAATAACCAATCAAGATCAAAGTTGACAGAATAGGCTAAGAGTCAGAAGTGGAGAAATTCGGTTAGTTCATTTCTACCTAAAGTTTGTTCTGATGATATTGTATAGAAGAATAATGAAAGTTTCAAGACGAAACCATGCAGATTAGAAAAGAATTCTCTACCGAAATCATTCATTGGGGCTACAAATCTTCTCCATTATTATTTACCTTATGCATAAAATATATCATCCATATGATTGATTCTTGTTAATAACTAGTATTAAAATACACTGAAACAGAATATCGAATTTTATGCATCCTAATTCCTCGGTAAACTTGAATAAAGTGATAAGGACAAGATTTACAAAATAATATGAATTCATCATATTTCGAGGCTTTTCATTTGCTGTAAATGACCAAAACTATCCATTATTATTATTACTACAGAGTTATTGGTCCCTCTGATAAATTTGTATCATGTAACAAGAAGACATAAATTATCAAAATGACGTGATATATTAGAGCAGTACATTTCAAACAATCTTATTACACATATACTTATTAAGAACATTTCTATATAATAGTTCAGATAGATTAGTATTTATATTATTAGAGATGTAATTATAAAATGTAGGGGTTGAAGTGTAAAATTGATTATAAAAAAGACAATGAATAAAAACAAATTGTTAACATGACAGTCAATTAAAATACAATTCAAGTTAAGATCATAGGTGAATATCAGTGGAATTCAGTGTAATAAAGAGATAATATAATTGATTAACATTAAAATAACTATCACTAACGTATCATGGTAATGAAAGGTTTACCAAACATTCTTTCTGTATACAAAAGTCAAATCCTAAACGTCAGATTGCAACAACCTATTCAAAGAGGAGTAAAAATGGTGTTTACAGCTTGTTAGTTATTTTAAACACTTTTATGATATCCACGTTGTTACTAGTTAATTGGAAAGTCATGCTCAAGCTTCAGTCTTTAAATAACTAAAAATTTTCATCCAGATAGGATTAAATTAAACTTAATACATAAGAAAGTATGGACGTTTCCTACATATATGATAAGGAAGTGACTATAATCATATTCGTCAAATCCAAACAATCTCTGACAGCGAATTATTTTAATTATTTCTAACCAAATACTGTTACATCTCTAGCCTTAACCGACAGCGTCGAAACAAAAGAATTAGATTTTTAATCAACATTTGGATTAAGAACAGAGAAAACAATGTTTTTTGTTATTACATTATGCTGCATAATTGTTTATATTTTTAAAACCAAGTTATGATAATTCAGAAAGTCAATAAAATAGATGAGGTTTCATAATCAGAATGGGGTTTTGTGGATATTATAATAATTTAATAGTTGAATTCATGAGTCAATTAAAGCCAGACCACCATGGAAAACCTGGAAGCACTGGACGGCTATTTAGTCCTAGTATATTTAAAAGAAACTATTCAAATATACATTGAATATACTAGTCATCTATGAGAAACATAGCATTTGACGTTTCCTTCCATAATTACTAGGGATAAGAGTACAATAAAACATTATCATAAAACTTAACTCATAAGCTCTAATGACTTTCAGCAACTTGTTCACGTTTATTTATTGAATAAAACAAATCCCTATTCTCAGTCATTTGCGTACACTCGTATATTCTTCTAATAGGGAGAAACCACTTGTTATCGTTCTATTATTCTAGCATAGTTCACATGTTCACAAAGACACAAAATGCCACTCAGATTTTCTGATAATTTTATTACCAAATTTATCAATGAATATAAATTCGTTTTGAAATAAAAATATCCCGTTAACATAATTTATGTTATATTTGAATCTGATTAGTAATCATTCTGTACAAAGAATCCTATTAATGAACTGACGATAAACATCAGGTGGTTGATATGATCGTTGTTCGTAGTATTCACAACAAAATCATTCCTTTCTGCATAGTTACAAAATACACGTCATTTCATTTTGATTGTATTCATAAGTAGTTAAATAAGAACAATTTTCAAACTGTGAAGGTATTTATTATTGTTTACTTTAGTTTTACACCTGTTAGTACCTTGTTATTAAAGCAAACACCGATGATTCAACGACCAAGCATAAAAAATGATCCAATCCGATGTGTACATTACTGGATGCGTAGTGGTCAGCGGCCTAGAGGTTAAGCGCTCGCAGCGATACCTTCAAGTTTTGCGTCCAATCAACCAAGGCCTCTTTCATACACACTAGTGAGGGGTTGCCATACTGGTGCAAAACAGATGTCCAGTGCTTCCAGGTTTTCAAAAGTTGCCTAGCTTTGATCTGTTCATAATACTGATAACATTCAATACTCTGCATAAACCTCTTATATAGATATTTACTACTCATTTGTGAATAGGTACTAAGACTTTAGCTGTAGTTTCACTTTGTACTAAGAAACTTTGATCTTAAATGTATCATCAACTTTTAATATATTTATATTCATTAGGAGTCGATAAATGTTTCGAAAATTTTAGAGACATTTATTTATTTAGTAAAGATATGAGTGAAAAATACATATAATTGATATATTCTATGGTGTGTGCTAATAATGTCGACAGATATAAGTAGTATGTATCACCAATCGAAACTAAAATGACTAACGGTAGAATGTTAAAAAAATTCGACGAGAAGAGAACGAGAACAGAGAGTGATTGGTATAGAATCGAAGGAACAACAAAGTTTGAGACAATTGATGGATATTATGCAAGTGAAGTATTTACTGTATGATTCTCAAATTTTACCAAGAAATTTTGTAATTATTATTACTTATTATTTTAACACATAGATATTGGTACAAGGAGGCACCAAATACATATGTGTCACACAAATCTCATTTGATATGTGTGAGGGCTGTGATACTACCCAGGTGCCCAAACCGAGGCAGGTGGTTTTATTAGGGGGGTACACCCGTAGCCTCCGACCTGGAGGTATGATCCACAAGACAGTGGAGCATTGTGAGAAGATGCATTCCCATGGTAGCCGGTGACCAACAATTGGTTCATACGCCATTTATTCCCTCAGGGTACTGGAGCCCATGTGCACCATTGGTTTGGAATCAGTTTCCTAACTCACCTAGGTGAACTCACAGTGTCCACCGGCCCGGTTAAAGCCCCAGACATTCGCTTTTCGTCCCTTGAATTTCGCAAACAACACCCCATCACGAGAAGGCAGTAAGTATGACTTCCCTGGCAGAGGCTATATACGTGTGGCTATGTGAGAGCATTTGGAGAGGGAGAGCGGACTATCCCCACTCTTGGCCATACCAGGGCATTTGATGGCCATTTGTTTGTCCCAACCTGTATTCTCTTTCATTACAACTCCTTTACTTTCCCATATGATACACTGTAGTGGTAATAAGTCCTCTTTTTCGATTTTCTTTTAAATGTCATAATAGTGTGCATGGCAAATCAACCCATTTATTATTTACATAAATGATGTTAATTTTATTCATAGGACGATACATCAACAATATCTATACTTCAATAATAATCAATAGTTTTATTCTTGAAAATTCTCAATTAATAACTACGTATTATGGTTGGTATAAATCAATATTATAATATGATAAGGTTTTGACAACAGTTGTTACTTTTGTTGTTGAACAATGACATGCAACTTACATTTGTTTCTACTGGTATTCTTCTCTTGAAGAATGATAAGTATATTGTAATGTTTTTTTTCAATATTTGTTATGTTGTTTTACTAAAGACAAAAAATCCCCTGTATTGTTTCCTCTTTCTAATCGCGTATATTTGCTAACGTTATAGTATTGTTGAGTATTAGTTTAATCTATTTATCTTTATTAGAAGTATCTTTCGTTTTAAATTTCATTACTATATTTTTAAACTTAATGGATATTCATTTCAATGAATTGCTGAACTAAAGCCAGTTAGGAATAAGTAAAGCTTAATCTTACATACTAAGAACACATTTTGTATTTTCGATTTACACCCTGATGAATATTGGTAGATACTGAAATAAAAGGAAATTCAATGACTATCACGCGTTAAATAGAATTCTTGAGTGCTGTTAGAAGTATGAGGGCGGTTATCACTTCCCGGTCGCCCACACTATGGAACGGTTCTTCTGGAGGTACCTGAAAAGGAAATTGGATTAGAGGTGATCTCAGTGATCTGAGAGCGTGCCGCAGTGCACAAGATACAACTGCTTGAGGTCGGTCACACACCACCTTTTTATGAGTAATTTCGTATTAGCTCCGTACTTGTTGAGACTTTACCGCCGGAGACGGATATCTGTGGGATAAGGCGAGGTGTGCATTTTTAGGGTCGACCTTCT